CGAATCTAATCCATTGATTGGCTGTGTCCTCATCTGAGATCAGGCGAAAATTCGAGCCTCGGGTGTCTCGGAATGGTAATGGAGTCTTGGCGGCAATGGTTCCTTCAGACAATCCCTTCAGCACTCGTAATGCAACGGTGATTCGGCTTCCGGCGTATTGCCCTACTGAGTTCAGATCATGAGTTTCGGCCATCTCGCTTTGTACAGAAGAAAGTTGTACGGACCGTAGGTCTCGTAACAACAGCTCGAGCAGCGGAAATAGTTGTACGAACCGTAGGTCTCGTAACAACCAATCGGAGTCGAATTCAGAAAGCGGTCGACACGAAAATGAAAAGTGCCACGAAGACAGAACCGAAGTTGATGTCAATCTCGAAAAGCACCAGTGCAGTAGCGATCGCTCGAACGAATGGTCAATGGCGTCGAGCTCTCGAGTAGCACAAACGGATGTTGCCACCGACTTGATTGGGTGACTGCGGACATTCTCGGAATCACGAGACATTTCAGCTTTCTGTCGTTCATCACATGCAAGCGGCTTCCAACGTTTCATCACTCTGACGTTCACAAATGGACTATTCTTGGTTACATGATCATTGATTCCATTCATGATGATTTTGGCTATCCATTTGGTGTAAACTTGAGTAATGCGAGTTTCCCTACCGGCACACTCAGCATGGTCATGACGGCGATCACATCTTCTATGAAGCTTTGGAAAAGACACCCCCCATGTGACAATCTTCCACGGTTTCTTGATTGGTTTGGGAGTCTCTTGGAATTGTGATTTCAAGCCATACATGCATCCATCAAACTTGTGCTCATGAGATACGGTTCCTTCCACAAGGTCAGTCATTCTACGGTCCTTCCAATAGTCACAACCTCTAGGCAACTCAAGCAAGGCTGGTGATCCCATGTTAATAAGTTCACTTAGCACTGATGCAAACACCTCCCACATCGCCCAGAAGATCTGCTTCTTTGCTTCGATGAGTTGTGTCGTTGCTTCGCTCACCCATCGGTTGATTCGGTTCCATGGTGAACCTCCTGTACATGGACCTGCAAAGAACACTGAATCAAGTTTGGTCCGAAGGCATCGCCTTGCTTTGCTGATTCCGTACGGAGAGAGCATGTCGTCATCTTCAGTGATTGGTACGACATGAAACTTCATTTCGTCCTTCATTTTGTTCTGCAAGAACGTAAACCAGTTTCTCTCTTCCGAACATAACAAGACGAAGCATGGGACTGCTTGAGGAACTTCGATCAAATTGATTGCAAGGGAAAACTTCGCATACTTTGATGTCATCAAGTCACAAGGTGATTTGGAAAATTGAAATTCCAAAGTTCTGTTTTTCTTTTCTCTCCAAAGGATTACCGACACTTTGGGATGGTCAACCTCATGTTTGCCTACTTCAATGTGATATTGATAGGGGACAAAAACATCAGTGATGGGAATAGTTTTCACGTCATTGCAATTGGTGCATAGCGTGATTACTCCCTGACTCACTTTACAGTTCTTACCTCCATCGATCACTTCAGCATTGGCGAGCACCTTGAATGTCGATTTTCCAGTCCAAAATTCATTCAACTTGTTTGTTGATTCATGATTGTCGCCCTTGAATCTCCATATGTCTTTGATCACTCGAGTATTGGTTTTGAACTTTTGTTCAGTTTCCCTCTCATCACATATGATCCTAGGGTCACAAGGACAGTCTTCGCAATCCTGTGGTACAAAGTTTTGCCTTCTTGGCGTTTTGTGAATTCGGATCAATGTCTCTTTCCCATCCCACTGCCAATGGTCTTCATTTTTCTTACCTAACACTTGGGATTTTCGGGTGGATTTTACAAACGGAATGTTATCATTGATGTCCAATTCCGGATGCTATGACATAGGCCAGGTGTTGAAGTGGACTGTGGGTGCCCCTTTTCACTGTGCGAATGCCATCCTTCACCCTCACTCCCCCCATGAACAAGGCGCATAAGCGTATTGATCACACGTGTGGCTGGCTGAAGGCACTGGTGAATGGATTTCGGGTGTTGAGACGGTGATGTCTGTGCATCTAAAAACAAGGCATCAACCGAGAACATCAGCATTGGTGAATCGGTCAGATGCTGTACACGGTCATGTGGTGTTGACGCACACGAGTCACGTAGTGAGCTCGAGTGGGCAGGCGGGGCATGCACGTGCTTTGACGACATCACCCGGTGGGTTGAAGTCGTTGAAACGGATTGTGAAACAGTGTCCGGGATCAACGGCTGCTTGTTGGGCGAATGGTACTGAAAACACGCTCGTTCAACCCACTTATCAAATCTGATAGCCTGCTCTGGTGGAGATGCACGGTGTTCGACCTTTGTCCAGGCACCATTTAGAAGAACCCATGTGGATCTCAATACATCTGGCGGCACAATCAAGCCGGGTGGCTTGGGACGGTAAAACACCGGTTGCTTGACGACAAAAATGGGATCCATACCTGGCAAGTATTGTAGCTTCTCTTTACTAGTCAAACCCTTCCTATACACTTCTTTTGGCAAAATAGGGGTTTCCGTGTATGGGAAGTTTGGGATGTCCTCAGTTTTGGATTGGAAAACTTGGCGAGTAGTCATATCGACATCGGTGCTTGGCTGCAACATGTCCAATACTTCTTTGCTCTGCAAGTCCTGAGGTTCCAACAAGTTGATTAGCATACAAGCTTTCTTCCATGCCATGGGATTCTTGAACCCTTTAGTATGGATATCTGCTGCCATTTTGGCTGTAATTTCATAGATCAATACAAAATGATCCTTTTGGAAATGTTCATGCATGGAGGCAATGGAGATACCATGTGTGCGCTCCAAATGACGCATGGTTGGATTCCGTCCTGATCTGACAACACCAATCATACCTTGATTATCGTCATGAAACAGGAGTTGAGGAAAAACTTTGGCTAAGACTTTCCACAGACTTAATGCGGGGATTCCTAGAGTCCTAAGTGCAGTATCTGCAGCCACGATTTCAGCTTCGGGGGTTGAATGACTAACACACCCTTGTCGCTTACTTCCACCAGCAAGTGGGAATCTTGTGAACTTACCTTGGACTTGCAAGTGCGATCCTGAAGTTGATCTCAAGGATTGGGCACATCCAGCGAAATCCGCATCTGCAAATAGTCCTAATGATAAATCTTCAATTTTGTCTCCGACCCATCCTATCATTTTAAGGGACAATGTGGAATTAACATAACACATTAGGTGATGAAGACGGGCGTCATCATCCTTTGTCCATTTGGTCACATTACGTGCCAATGCATTGATGGATCTCAAAAGGTCAAACCGCGCAATGCGGGCTGCATACAGCAGCTTTATAAGCACACTAGCTGCATGCGGAGCTAGATTCCCTCGGCTCAGCTTCTCACTGTCTTGGCCAGGACATGAGTTGCCAGTCTCGGAGAGAGCAGGCATATCTGGATCGAAGGAATGTGCACACCAAGGACACTCAACTTTGCGTTTTCCATCGGAAGGAGCTCGATACGGGCTGCTTTTCGTTTCCTCTGGAAGGCTTGGAGTTGATACCTTTTTCAATTTTGTGTCCTTACCAATGATGTCAAGATACTTTTCCACCGATAACTTTAACAATCCTTCCATGTTATAAGTTATGGTCTTGACTTTCTTACCATTATGCAATTGGGTCTCACCTTGGGATAAAACACATCCTAAGTAAAGTCCCAAGTCGGTTTCGGGTTCAATGCGCAAAACAGTGCGCAGCATTTCCCAACCTTTGGCCAGATTTTCGGAGGGCCCAGCAAGCTTAAGATCATCCACATAGATTACCAATAGCAATTTGAGCTCATCATGAAAATACATAGAAGGCCATTCCTCTCCAATGGGTTTAAAACCAATTTCTTGAACTTTCTTGTCACAATGTTGTTCCCACATCGTGCCTGAATCGGGATGTCCATATAGGGCTTTGTCGAGTCTTACAACAGGGCGACGAAACTTCCAGTACTGTATCTCCGGAGGCCATGCATCAGTGGGTAACTCCACCCAACACAAAGGCCCCTTCAACTTGGCCTGGATGTATGCCTGAATCGCATCTGCCAGCTTGACGGAGTGCCCAGGAAGACATCCGTAGAAATCGGCCCATCGTGAGGCTTCAAAGGAAGCAGGGGAATTTCCCAAGTCTTGGAAAAATGCTGCCTCTCAATGCTGATTCTTCACCTGATTTCCTAGTAGAACGCCTCTTCCTTTGAATTTTCGACCAGGATTGTCTTCGGACAACTGGTAATTCTTTTCCACGCATATGCCATGGACTCTGGCCATATGTACCTCCTTTTTATTCTTCTTAGCCTCTGCAACAACATCGTCATATTCACGAACCATTGTAAAGTCAAATACCTCTTGATCACGAAGGCCTTTCCACTCCTTGAGCATTGCCTCTTTGGCCTTTGGGTTAGACTCAATTTCGGCTCTGCCCACAGGTCGTGAAACCATTGCGTTGAAAAGTTTGCTTCCAAGACCTCCTGATGGTATCTTGGTTCGGTGACTTTGGTTTGATGCAGAAGTACACGGCATAGTTGGAAAAGGGATGTATTCATCATCCTCAGTGGCTATGTTCTTCACGTTCTTGACGTTAACACACTTGCCATTTTTGATCATTGTCGACCCGCCTGGCGTAGCCATGGAGAATCTCGAAATCTCACCTGACAATGTGCTCCAAACTTCACCACTCCACGATGCTTTTGGGCCACGTCCTCTCTCGATCTCCGACCATTCATCCCATTCAGTGAGGTATTCCTCGTCGTCCGGGACGTCAGTAGAGGCATCGGAACATGGACTAGCATCAGCATTCCTCTTCACCTTTCGACAATCAATGTATCGTCTTCCATGTACATCGTCATCATCGACTATGTCGTACAGATCAAGATACGTACTTGTACATGTGATAGGTAAGGTAACTTTGTTCTTCACAACTTCACCAACACCTGCATCGGATTTCTTTGACTTTGAATGAGAGTCATCCTTCTTACTTTCATCACCACCTTCATCGTCCTTGGACTTTGGCTCGTCCTTGTCTTTCTTTGAATCTTTCTTCTCCTTCTTCGTTGCCTTCTTCTTCTTTTCCTCGACCAATCTTTTGGCTTTGTCATCGGCCTCTTTCTTCTCCAACTTCTTCTTCTCGGCTTTGAGGATGGTATTCCGGTCAGACTGAGAGAGTTTGCGCCATTCTTCAGGAGAATAGGTCCCTTTGGGACGCAATGACGTTCTGAACATTCGTCTACCGTCATCTCCAATCTTGTATGGGTAACCCTTGACGTTCAACTTGACCTTCTCACCATCGTCATTGAGGTATATCTTCCCATCTCCGGCTTTGCCCTTCTTCCAATGGTCTGGTTGGGCGTCGATCAATTCCTGGAGAGTCATCTCTTCTGGATCTTTGTCTTTGTCGAAGATATCCTCGGAGTCATCAAGAGGCTTCTTTGAAATCTTTCCACCACTTGGTCCAGGTCCACCGTCATCTCCGTCATCAAGCTCATCATCATCTTCATCTTGGTCATGTTCTTCGTCATCTCCATGAAGCATTTTGGAGGGATCGCCATCGAGGATTTCTCTCTCTTTCATTCCTTCCAATGTGGTGTTCACCCTCTCATATTCTTGCTTGCATGGAAATGTCAATGGGGTGACCATCTCGACCTTTTCAGTCAAGTGAGGTTTGAGAAGACGGTGTTCAGGTTTGCTAGCGTCGTCACCAAGATTCTGATGTATGAATTCACTCAGAGGCCATACTTTATATTGTCTTGACCAATGCATCCCTGGACCAATGTGATAACCTGCAAACACTCCTGGAATAGAATCAGGCCCAAACTTATGAAGTTGTCCTGCTTCTCTGGTCTTCGGAGGCTTGTAGTTCACACGAGCACCATAGGGAATGAGTTTGCCAGCAAATTCAGATCCATGGAGTTTGCACCAAGCGCTCAATTCATCATCGTTGGGTTCTACGTTGAGCAGATGACATACACAAAGGATTGCTGTTCTCCAGAAACAAGGCGGTAATCCAGCTTCCAAAAGACATGTAGAAGTAGCTGTGAGAATAAATTGGTTCGTCCTTTCGGCGATTGAATTGGTTTGAGGTCTCCCAGGCAACGAATGATCAATTGGGATCTTCATCTCGTTCATAGCTTCAATGAACTGAGGAGCATGATCAGAGTAGGCCTGTCTGACCTTCTTGGCGCCGATGAACTGTTTCACTGCTCTGACTACATCGTCCTTGGTCATTCGATCAGATGGATAAGCACCAATGATCCCTGTAAAACAGTCTCTGACAACCAACACTTCCTTCTCGAGGACCAACACGTCATCATGGACTTTGGATGTGTCCACTGCATCAAAGGTAATGAGGTCGCCAAACTTCTTGAGTTCCCTTTTGTATGCACCACGACGAGTCTTGAAGTGCTTCATCTTTGCTCGAATGCATGAGTCGCAATATGGATTCTTGTACCTGTGGGTCAGCTTGTGATTCAAGCTATTGGCTTCTCTCTTGAGTGTTCCTCTTTTGGCTACCCTGGACTCACCCTCGACGACATCGATCTCAATGTCATCTTCATCACCTTCAGCGGCGTCTTCAGGAGCACCATGACCATCATCTTCAAAGTCAGTCTCGTCACCATGGGGTTCGTCAAATGGAGTCCCAGGTTCATATTCGCCGTCTTCAGGTGGTTCTTCTTCTTCTCCAGGGGTTGCCGAATGTTTCTGCCGGTTCACTGCTCTCCTCTTCTTCTTATTCTTGAGCTTCTTGACGTATCGGGAACAATTGTGGTTCTCAGTCGATGTCTCAAGACCACTCTCTCCGTCTAGATGTACTCTTCGTGAGGGTTGACCAATGTCATCAATATCGTTGAGATCATTGAATCCAACTTGAGAATGTGTCAACAGGTCATGGATCTTCGATGCATGAGGGCATTCATGAGGAGTGCATTCGTATGTTCCAAGATCAACATAGGGGATGTTGTCATGGATTGTTAGATCGATGCGTTCTCCAATCTTCGTAATCATGAAAGGCATTTGACCAGATGGCCATACAAAGGAGTATCCTTCTTCCATGCATCGTTTCCCAAGAGACATCACGGACGGAGTGTCGTCCAATACATAAGCATGAGACGTCACATCAAAGGTTCCGAGGTCAATCTCCGCTTCTGTCTGAGTAGCAGTTGAACCATTGGCGGTGTGGAACATGATGGGGTCACAAGTTCGTTGCTTCAAGCTCATTCTTTCGGCTTTCCTTGCAGAAATCAGATCGTGTCCACTGCCCGAATCCAGGATGAATCTTCGATCTTTAGCTTGTACTGGTAATGAAATACACATCAAGTTCTTGGACTTTATGAGGGATTTTCCAACTTCATGTTCAACAAGCTCTTCAATGAAAGTCAAGTCATCACGATCATCGTCCAGCTTGATCAACATGTCGAACTTGGGGCCGATGATGATTCTAACTTCATCAACAAAACGATGGAGCCCGCATCTGTCCATGATGATAGCCTTGGCCCGTGCTCGGACTGAACCGAGGGTGTTGTCGGACTTGGACTGATCGTCGGTCAGATCATCGACTTTCCAGAAGACATAATGCTTGTTGGGGTCACGATACATACGCTTGGGCAGTCCCTCTAGGTAGTTCTCAATAGCAATCTCGTGCACTTCAGGTTCCAGATCAAATGAGATTCTGCGAACATCAGAAGACTTCTTTGCGCTGGCTATCCTCGGTGAGGTATAATCCATAGAATCTTCATTGTCGCTATCAAAGAAGGAGTCAATGGTAATGGGAGTCGCTTTCTTCTTTGGTGTCTTCTTGCTGGTTCTTTCTGAAGATGCCGAAGGCGATTGATCTGCATGTAGGAATTTACATTTGCTCCCGAACGTGCAGGTACCCTTTTGCCAATTCCAACACACCTTCTTCTTGGGTCCAGCTGAAGATGAGCTTCCTCTACTCTTCCCTCTTGACGAATCTCGACTTCCACTTCTGCCTTTCTTACCTTTCATCTTGGCATCGTAGACCTTCTGAGAATGACTGTAAAGACATTTGTCACCTTTGCTACATCCTCCTTTATTGAAGAAGTAGTTGCAGAAAATCTTCTTCTTGTCAACGGGTGAAGATGATCTTCCCTTCCCTCCTTTGCCTTTCTTGTTGTTCTTGTCGGCATGTGATTTCGGAGAAGGTGTTGGAAGTACCGATGCAGCTTCACTCTTCGCCTTTGCCTTAGGTCGTTTGGGAGGATCACCTGTAGAAGATGCAGCTGCTTCATTCTCCTTCTTGGTCTTAACGGGAGCAGCAGGCTTGTCGGCATCTTCCATAGCAGGTGTTGTCTTGTTAGAGGACAATGACAGTTTCACTGCACGTTCTCTATCTTTCAACAGTCGTTCTTGTTTTCCTCTTGCTATGTATCCCTTGATCATACCAGTTAGGTAAACATAGGTCTTCTCAGGATGCCCTTCATCAAAGGTTTTGTATCGGTTGATATCAAAGGCCATAAGCTTTGAGTGTTCAATCTTCCGGAACAATGTGTCACGCAGGGAATTGTTGGAAGGCAGATCATCATGTTTCATATTGTATACAATGTCAAGCCACTTGTTGTAGAAGGCCTCAAGTTGGTCATCTCCATAGTAGTTGAACATATACAAATGATGGGCGTTGTAGAGAACTTCAGTGTGGTCAGGTGACTTGAAGCTAATCAGTATCATTGCGAATAGTTCTCGTCCCTTGATGAAGTCCCCACTTCTCCCATACAATTGGTTCTTCATGGACATGTCATACTTCACTTGCATGGACTTGTCCCCAGCATTGTCAATGACTTTCCTCAAGGCATTGGAGAGCTTGGCATCAATGGATTGGAATCTCACATCGGGTGCTTTGGCCAGGACCTCCAAGTCAGGTTGATCTGCAAGACATGGAGCTAGCCACGCTTTCCAATCTTCATAGTTTCGATCTCCACTTGCAACACAAACTTCATGAACAACACTTCCCTTCCAGGATGAAAGTTCCGTGGTCTTAGGCCAGGGTTGGAGGCTGATCTTTTCGGCTTCTCTTAGAGATACGGATGACTTGGATCTATCCCTCTCGAGGTTCTCCAACTCCTTGACATTGGTGTTGTACTCGTTCCTGAGCTTCTCGAAGGCTTCAGCTTCTGCTCGGTATTCCTGCTCTTCATCGTTGGCGCGATCTTCAGCTTGAGAGAAATTGTTCTTATAGTAATCTTTCCTATCTTCCATCTTCTTCAATTCATCTTGAAGGTTTCGAACTTCAACGTTCTTCTCTTGCTTCATCTCGTCCAACTCTGCTTTCAGTTTGGCGCACTTCTCTTCACATTCATTCCGAGGCATAGCACTACTGGGGTACCCATGTAATGTAGTCGGTCTATTCAATGATGAAGACGAAGCAGCTTGGTTTTCCAGCCTCAGGGCAGCAATGGTGCTCGACATCTCTTCTACCTCAGCGAAACACTCACTGGCCAATTGGTGCATCTCGGTCAAGTGGCTTTCAGGAATGGAATAGTCAGTCGCACCTTTGATCACGAGTCTTCTGTCGTTCAACATCTTGATGGACTTACCTGCATCCCTGTGAGCACGATCAAGAGAGTCCTTTTGAGCTTCAAGTTCAGTATGAAGGCGAGCAATGGCTGTATCCCTGTCACTGATTTCATTATGCAGACTGTCGAACAAGTTACTCGTCACATTCGGATTGTTACTCATGTGATCTATCTTGTTCAAAGCATCTTGATACTTCTTACCAGTTTCATCGAAATTTTGCTGAAAGGCTTTGAGCAGGTTCTCGGTGTCAATGAGTTCAGTTCTGTTTCGTAAGTACAACTTGTCAACTTCGGCCTTGGATTCCTTCAAGCTGTCACGCTCACGCACGGCCTGCATATACATCTCGTATAGTGGTCCTCCATGCGGTGATCTGCTTGGCGAGGATCTTCTGGCTTGTTGACAGGAAAGTTCATGATATTGATTCTTCGATTCAGTCAGTTGTTGTTGCATTCGATCTAAAAGACTTTGTTTCATGTGTAGTTCAGAACGTAGTCCCAGTATCCTCATGTCCCGCATGCCACCCGATTCAGCTAGAGATTCTTCAGAAACCTTGTTCTCAGAAATCGCTAGTCGAGATTGTAAGTTTTCATTGTGGATCACCTGCAATCGAAGTTGTGATTCTTCCAAAGCTAAGTGATGCTCACACTCTGCATAGCGGTCATGTTCAGATCTTATGTTACTACGGAACTCCTTCATGATCTCGTCCCTCTTCATGTCAGCAGCATCGAGCTCAGTTTCCAGTCGTCTAACGTTCATGGACATGGTGTGCTTCATTGTCTGGTTTTGATTGGCAACCTCGAGCATCTCGATCTGTAAAGCACATGTTTGATCATTGGCGTAGCCGACCGCTAGAGCTTCTTGCTTGGCATTCATCTCTGCGTTTTCCAGTTCCAGTCTGAGCTGACTGATGTGAGCATTCGCATCAGCGCCCACATGTACCATAATTGCGCTCGCTTGTCCCATTTGTTCATCGAATTCCGAACGTAGTCGTGAATATTTGAATTCCAAATGAGATGCAGCTTCATTTGACATAGTCTGATACCTTTCCAACTCTTCGATCCTGTAGGTCGCACCTTCATCTTCTTGTTGTGCAGCCTGTAACTCGAAGTTCAGCATCTGGAGTTGTTCGGTCATCGACATCATCTCTTGATGAGTGGTGTTTTCCAGGAAATTAAATTGTTGATAGGCATATGCTGTCGTCTCAGTCAATCTTGCCTGAAGTACGGATTCCTCTTCAGTGGCCTTTTCCAGTGATGTCTTGTATTCAGTTAGTTCGCTCTGATAGGCAGTGAAGATGTCGCTACCACTCGACGGGGCGTTCACTTGCTGATAAGATCCTGTCCCTGATGGAGTAGCGTCCTGAATCGGTGAAGGCGGATTCGACGACGTAGTCTTTGCCTTAGTCCTTGGAGTCATCGGAGGTGACAATTGTCGTGCAGATGATCTTCTCTTTCCAGGTGTGCTGTCCCTATCCTCAATTGCTTGCATTGTCGAAATTTGTCTCCCTCTAGGAGCAACCATAGGTCGCCTGGGTAGGCTTGTTCTCAGTTCTGAGGCATCGCTTCCACCAGTGTCGATACTCTGTGAAGAATTTGACTGCGTGCCGGCAGCTGGTGCAACGGCATATCCAGAGAAAGAAAATGCGTTATCACTGCTATCCTGTTCAGTCATCTGTAAGGCCCGCGGCTACCCGCTCGTAGGCTCCGTAGGAGTCCTACGGCTGATAACCTGTGAATCGGAGGTTATCTCCCCGATTATATGCTGTTGTTTGGTCTTGAGGTTGATGTTCTCAACAACGATGACACGGGAATTGCAGTTTCAGCATGGCGGCGTTTTCTCTTTGGCACCTGCAGTAATCTTGAGCCAAAGGAGCAGATTGATGCATCCCTTGGCGGTGGACAATTAAGAGCTGAACTATATGGGAGTGTGTAGTAATAATCCGTAGCCTACACTCCATTCGCATGTATGTATGTATGTATGTATGTATGTATGTATGTATGTATGTATGTATGTAAGGTAAGGTAAGGTAAGGTAAGGTAATGTAAGGTAAGGTAATGTAAGGTAATGTAATGTAATGTAATGTAATGGTATGTATGTATGTATGTATGTATGTATGGAATGTAAGGTAAGGTAATGTAAATGTAAGGTAAGGTAAGGTAATGTAAGGTAAGGTAATGTAATGGTATGTATGTATGTATGTATGTACGTAGGTATGTAGGTAGGTAGGTATGTAGGTATGTATGTATGTATATACACCACCACAGGGGCATCATACCCCCCCCATCCCATGGGGGGGGGGTGGGAACACGGGACACGGGACCATATATATATATATATATGTGAGTTATATGTGTATCTATGTATGTATATATATATTTTTATTTATTGATTTAATATATTTGTATATATACACATTTGTGGAGCGGGATTATCCTATATTTTGAGCCACAGTCATGTCTGTCCCACGTACCCAACCCACGCAGCTGGGATCGCCCAACGCCGGCATCCACATAGACACCCACCGAAGCCGTCTGGCGCCGGTAAGGAAAGGGGAGTTACCCGAAACTAGAGGGGATACGTGTCCCAAAATAGGAAAAATATTGGGAAATGATGGTTAACCATCAAATTGCGGGGTACTGTACTTGGGATTCGCGTCGAGATGACCGTAGTTGAACCGTAGTTTGTCCCCTGTGTGTTCACGTGGCAACCAAAATGTATGGCAGGAGGATATAGCTGGACTACCTGAGCTTATGGAGCAATGTGGAGCAGCATGCCTCATTTTCTGCGTTGGATTACCATATTGTGGACTCCCCTCCGCAATGGCTACAGTTTCTACAGTTAGGATTTCACCTTCGAGTCTTTTTTTCTAATCCATTTCGAGTGCTTGGGGATTCCAAGCTTCTCCGTTGCGGAAGTGGAATATCACCTATCACCCATCAAAAACTACGATGAACATAACAAACAAGAATTCAAACAACAACCACAACCAGCAAATACAAGTGATACACATATACTACCGAATGGCCAACCATGGGGGCAGACTTGCCATGACTTCCCCAGAGTTGAACGGCCAGCCCCCGATTTGTGGATGGGTCCCTAGAGAAATGGGTTCAAACATGTTTCATGCCACAAATAAGGGTCGTCCCCGATCGGTATTGAGGATTGCTGCGTCCTCAGACATTGAGTTGACTCATGCAAAACAGTGGTATAGCGGTATAGGGTCGTCCCCTGTTTTGTACACCCAACAGCAAGGCGAAGGTGAAGCAAGACTAAATTAGTATTACACTCATATATACTCATATATTACACTCATTAATTTTGTGGGTTACTCATGTGATAACTTTGGTTACGAACCAAGTAACCAAACAACGAACATCTGGGACATGTTCTCCCCTGGAATGCAACAAACAGCTGCACGAACTTTGGGACAGGTCGGCGGTCGCCGCGCGACGGTATGAACTCGTTGACGAGTATGCAACGAAGAACGGCACGGAGCTTGAAACTTGTTTCAGGAGAATTCGTCATGTAAAATTACCAGTATTGCCAGAGGAATATCCTTGAAATGATCTGGGCAGCTACCGAAGTAGAGTGGCTTATGAGTAGCATTTACCCGCAGCCCGGTTGCGATCAATCGGGTCCGTCCTATCAAACATCCTAAGTGGGCTTCAACTAGCTAGAAAAAAATATGCAAAAAGAAAATGAAACCATGAATACTGTAACGTTAGCTGTAGACTGCCAAATGTATCTGCGGACTGTCGTTGATTCCCTATGGATAGTAACTGTTCCAACATCTAAAAACTGGCCCCAAGAAAAAAGCATCGACCAAAATAGCTCTGATGAGGTAGGCTGATGTCACCTGTGCATGACTGGAATGAGTTGGCTAAGGGAACGATGTTGCATCATATATAACCTGGCTCATGACGTGTTACACTCGGCTTTGCGTTAAGCTGAAAACTCTGCAAAGAAAACCCGATTCGTTAAGAGGTAGATATGACTATGGACCATGATCCCTGATAAACGAGGTACTATCGCCCTTTATGGAGCCCAATCAACAGGCTTCAACGTATGTTTCATGGCGCAAAATGGGCAAAAATCTCTGCCGTGGTTTCCATGCCCGTGTCGCAGCTGAACTCGTGCAAAGAGGTCGGGAATGGAGGATCAAAGAAAACTGGTTGGTGGGTTCTAGTTGCTATGGGAAAAATGATGGCTTTTTATAGGAAATCATGTCGTTGAGTGGAAAATTCCCTGGTCATATAGTGGGTGAAGCATTTTTTTTAAACCATCTCAAGTCCATCAATTCCCATCTCAACTCTTGGGATCACAATCCCTTTTCATTGAAACCACCAACCAGTCTTCAGGATGATCTTTGAACTGTTGGACCTCGGACAACTTGGACCATGTGGCTATGGCTTTCACCGATTTGAAAATCGTGGGACTCCCAGAGAGGCCTGACTTTTCAACAGGAGAAACAGGATTCCCAGAGATGATGCAGCTGAGGGACACTCCAGATAGGTCGCGGAAAATTAGTGATGGATATTAGTGATGATATCTGGATATGTCTTAGGATCTGAAACTGGTTGTCATGACAACAAGTGGCTTCAACATCTTTCCATGACCAGAGCTGATCCAGCTCTGACCACAAGATCTGTGGTCATTTCACCACTGGATATAGCGGTGGTTTAGAAACCCCAAAACGATAGAAGTTGGTGAAATCCTACTTACTGACATAGTGATAAAATACTAATTATTCATTCTATCTTCCTGGGGGTTACTATATATACTGATATACTTCATTTGTTGAAGCCAGCGAGACAGGTTTATCCACAATCGATTGGTTGTGTCATACTTACCTCCAGCTTTTGAAGTGACGTGGATTTCAATATGGGAACCCCCAAAATCCTACCTATTTCCGGAATGCCAACAGCTGGTCCCACCGTTTTTGGATACGCAAAATTCCGATTTCTGGTGAATTCCAAATCAGCATGATCCCAAGTGAACTTTGGGGCCGGAGACGCCGAAGAATTCCGGCCACTGGGAATTGGGGAGATCATCCAGCAAGGGGCGGAGATGTCGTGCTGTGCCCAGTGTACCGACGGGGTGGCCATGCTTTCACGTGTGAAAAACATTCGCCATCTGGTGATTTTGTTCCATAGTTATCTCCCCCAGTTCTCATCCATTTTAGATTGGGATGTTCCATGAGATAAACCATCCAGCTATATATTGGGGTAGCCCCACGACTATGGAACCCCCCATATATTTCATACAGCCATGGAACCCATGGCTATGCTGAATAACCAGATGACATCCTGCTGCATAGTCTCCGATCCTGAAGGGGAAACCAGGGGTTTACAGACTGGAAGGTCTAAGATATCCATCTATATATTATATATATATAGACATGGTTTGTCTGAAAAGATGGTAACTACCAAAAAAACAATGAGGGTCAGAAACCTCATTTTCCTACGAAAATTGCCAATTTAGGTATCCACAGGTTCCCTGGGCACTGCTACCAAGCCCCACGCTCCAGATGCCAAGGCTGTCTTGGGCGAAATCACCATCTGATCCACTGACACTTGAAATACCACTCCGGTTGGGTCTGAAGCAAAAAACCAAGGTGAAGACACTGTTGCCAGCATCGGTCTTTTTTTCAGTTTAGTTTCACCCACAAAATCGAGATTACAGCTGGTGCTGGAGGTAAATTCACAAAGTCGTATCCTTTCCCCATGGGTATTTCGCCCAAGTAAAAAATTGGGTGGACAAGCACATCGACACTCGTCTCACCACTCGTCTCACGCATGGCAGTGCGTCACCAAGTGATGGTGGCGTTGCAGATGAAGAGATCTGGATATATGATGATATATGGATTCAATGGATATGGGTGTGTCTGAAAAGGGGGATATACCTCCAAAAATGTACTTGAACAGGAAAAAATTCATGATAAACCATTGGAGATTGGGATACCCTATTTTCAGACAAACCCATATGACATCATATAAGAATATATAAGACACATGATCATGTCTGGTTTTTTTAGAATAATTCACTGACCTGAAAATAGCTGTTATCATTTCTGGCCATGGATGATCCCGGAATCCTATTCCCATCATTCCAGTGATGCCGTGAGGTCACGCTACAATTTATCAGATCACAAAATGCTCAAACTAGAAATGCCTGGTTGCTCATTTTTATTGCTAGTATTTTGGTGAAAGCATCCAGCCGGCGGTTCAAAATTTCATGGCTGGTTGGTTTTCATTGAAAGCATCCGTTTTTTGGGGCTTCAATAATTGTGACCGGATATATGCAAATGAAGATATGTGTAGCCGAAGAAAGCTGACGGTCTCGCCGTGTCTCACTTGGGCACTGCGCCTCTGCCTTCGTGCATACGACTTCAACTTGGTCCATGTCTTTGCCAACACCACTTGGTTGTGTGAGAGACACATGACATTTCCCAATGGTGTTTGCAAAATTCAACATTGATCCACTTCACTGATTTGTTCTGAATTGGCACAAGATCAAGCACTTGCAATGCCTGGGTGAAACCAAATCTGGACCTTTGAAGCCGTCTAGTCAAATTTTATGCATTTCAGCTGTGTGGCCACAGCTGATTTGCACGTCTTTGGCTGCTGAATCATCGATTTCGAATGAGTGAAGTGAGGCAATCATTCCAGGTAGGGATAAGAGCAAAGAATAGTTGATAATTCATGGTTCATAGTGGTTTTTAGTGGCTGGTGAATAATGGTTATTAATGGCTATTAATGGCTATTTTCCATGTATATATACCACCAACCAGAAGATGATAAGTGTTTGCCACAAAAGCCTGCACCCCGTTGCTGCTCTCCGCTGAATAGCCACTTCGCTTCACACATCCTGGTCCTCACAAATCACATAATCATGACTCTTGATAAATGAAAACAAAACATGAGTCATACATTTAAAATTTAAAAAAATGTCGGATAGATATACCTATCTATATATCTATATATGGTATATATAATTTCAATCATCACATTTGATATAGTATATTACTTTACTCATAGTCATACTCATACTATCAATAATATTCACTTACACTTGTTGATATCCACTTTTCCAACAGACAGAGAGAGATGGGGCCTTGCCGCCTTATATGTTCCAGATCTCCGACCAGATCACCCCACATTTGGCCCTTTTAACGACAAAACATTGTTGATTTCTGTTGGTGATGTACCCATGTTGTTTGCAAACCCATGTTTTTCGTTTGAAGATGTTTTTTATTTTCTTTAATCGTAGTCGTTATCCTCAGTTATAGATCTTATATATTATTACCCCACGTTGTGTACCCATGTTGTGAACTTCGAAGCAAATCTGTTTAAAAAAAAAACTCCTTTTGCGCCGATGCTTCAAGAGAACTCAACAGCCAAGCGTGGTCATCAAATGCCGGGGGAAGCAATGTAAGGTCAAAGGCCCGCTCTGTGGAAAGGCATCTTGCATGCTCCACTGCAACGGTGGAAGCACCCTTCCCAACAATTCTGCTCATCATGTGGTTGGTTTGGAACATGATAGATAATATATATATATATACACATGTGTATATGTATGTATGTATGTATGTATGTATTTATGTATGTATGTATGTATGTATGTATGGTATGTATGTTATGTATGTTATGTATGTTATGTATGTTATGTATGTATGTTATGTATGTATTGTAATGTATGTATTGTAATGTATGTATTGTAATGTATGTATTGTAATGTATGTATTGTAATGTATGTATTGTAATGTATGTATTGTAATGTATGTATTGTAATGTATGTATTGTAATGTATGTTTTGTAATGTATGTATTGTAATGTATGTATTGTAATGTATGTATTGTAATGTATGTATTGGTATGTATGTATGTATCTAATGTAATGTAATGCAATGCAATGCAATGTAATGTAATGTAATGTAAGGTATGTATGTATTGTATTGTATTGTACTGTACTGTACTGTATTGTATTGTATTGTAATGTAATGTAATGTGTGCATGTATGTATATATGTATGCAAGTATGTATATATGTATGTATGTATGTATGTATGTATGTATGTATGTATGTATGTATGTATGTATGTATATGTATATGTATGTGTATGTGTATGTATATGTATATGTATATGTATATGTATGTAATACAATAGAAAGCAATACACTACAATACAGTACAATACAATACAATATAACAATAATATTACAATACAATATAATATTACACAACATATAATATAACATAGTATAATACAATATCATGTACTTATATCTGATTATAAAACATAGTATAATACAATATAATATTGTATCAGATAACATAATGTGACATAATCAGATATAATATCCTATATGCTATACCATTCTAATTCGGTGATATATTATATGGTACCAAATCATATGATATTGTACTATATTGTATTATGTTGTATTATATTGTATGTTTTGATTATATTAAATAATATTGTATTGTATTATATTATAACATATTGTTTTATTTTTTGGTTTATACG